CTCCAATTTAGTGACTTACAGTGATGCTAGCTGTGGTGTGGGGGCTAGGGTGGTTTTGGTCCTGCTTCTTACAACGGAGGTCACAGTGCAGGTGTCAGCCAGGGTGATGTTATGGGAAGGCTGCGATGGGCCTGGGATCCACAAAGTGGGAGACGTGCATCCTCGGTGCATCCTCGGTGCAGCCCTGGAGGAGCTCGTGATCACTTTATCTCAGCCTCCTCTCAGTCACACAGGACACAGAAGCAGTGTGACCACCGGGCAGCAAGAACCTGGGACTGTCTTGGAGACCCACAACCACTTGGAGAAACTCGGGAGTTTATTTTGTGTTCTTCTGTGGAAAGCTTTACATTTGGAAAAAGGAAAAATTACAAATATTAAACTTTTCATTGCTCTGGGCACTAAGGATTGAACCCAGGGCCTCACGTATTCCAGCCAAGCAACTCTGCCTCTGAGCTAAATGCCAGCCACAGTTGCTGGAAGATTTCCTATGCACATGAAGCAAGCAGCGCTCAGACATTCCGGTTCCTAGTGAACAATCTGGCTTGAAGAATTTTAGCCATCCTCATAGAAAAATGAAGTTGGTAAATATTAACATACGGTATGAGCATCTAAACTATATGCAGGATAATCTGTTAATGCTGGGATACAGGAAGATCGCAGGAACCCATTAACTTTCATGCATTTAAACACTTCTCACAAATGTAAATGAGCATTCATCCCAGATGCATGATGGGAAAATGGCTCTGTGTTTTATTTTTCCCTCTAACAGACACCCACTGCCCACACTCCCATTAGGCTCAGGCCTGGGCTCACACGTTGTGACCGGAGCCTTTGGGCTCCTGCTTATTTACAAACAGAGCTGTCTGCCCTATAGTACCGCCATCTCTTCACCCACACACGGGGAGGTCAAAGGTGGGGCTCCTGTCTGTTTTGAACTGTGATGTGGCGCAGGGAAAGGTAAACACGGTGAAAGGCTCCCATAGTCAGGGACGTGCCAGAAACATTCGGGACCAGGGACTCGGGCTCAGAAACACACCCCCCTCCGTCACCACCCCGTACGGAGCAGTGTTTACTGTCACGACTTCACAGAGGCAGAATGATCGATCGCCAGCCAGGTGGAACTGTACAGTTCAACAGCGGATCATCAGGCAAAGACTCACGTCAAAACACCAGCAGGTGCCTCCTGATGTCACTGGTGCAAGTGTCCTGTGGCTTCTGGGCTTTGATCCTCTATGCTGTAGCCCCGTCTGGTCACACGCCCAGGAGCCTCCAGTTGGATCACGTGGATGTTATTTAATCATATTGGCAGGGGACCCTGGGACAGGGAGGAGGAGAGGGAGCAGAGACTAGCGGGCAAAAGTGCAGGGTGACACTGGTCTCATAAGTACCTGCTATGTGCAGGGCTTGACTTCTTCCCTGACACATCAGATCAGCTGTGTGTTTTGTGCACTTGCACACTGTGCTGGGAGCTCCTCCCTACAGGCAGGGACCTGTGCCGGTTTGATCGACAGCTCGGTTCCGGCACCTTGAGCATCTGGCACATAGTAAGCATTAGTAAATTAGCGTTGAATTAACGAACAAAGGTACTATGTTAGCAGAAAATAATTACCATGCAGTAACACGCGCTGAGCTCTGTGAAGAGCAACTTGCACAGATTTGCCTGTTTTAATGTCCCCAGCAGTCCCTGACATTTCCCCAATTTACAGACCCGGAAAGTGCAGCTCTGAGAACTCGTGTGACCTGCAGAAATGGCATCGTCTTGGTTACTTGTCTATCGTTGCTGGGATAAAATACTCCATCCTCAAAATTAGGGAAGGAAAGGTTTATTTAGCTCAGGTTTTCGAGGTTTCAGTCCATACTCCACTGAGGCCTCACTATGGGTCAGCTGTTTAAAAAGCAAAAACGGAGAGCACGCGGCCTTCCCTCCCTTATATAGTAGCTGGCTCTGCCCCCGGGCGTGCAGCACTCACACCGCCAATCCCAGCGCAATACAGTGAACCAATCACAAACGCTAGACTCAGCCTCCCTAGAAAGGCCCGACTCACCGTGACAGCATGGGGCTGTGGGGGGACATTTAAACCAGCCACAACAGGCAGTGTGGGGTGTAAGCTCAGATATTCGGTCTCCTAGGCCTGTGGTTCAGAAGGAGCCTCTTATGCCACACTCTGGTTGGTGTATGAGACACAGCCCCTGATCTGCCACCAAAAATAGTCTGGAGATCAGACTGGGCAACCCCACCGTCCTTTACCTGACAGTGCCACGGATATGCACGCGCAGCTGCAGGGCACCTTCGCACGCCCTTTGCATCCCACTGCACCTCACCTATACGCTGCTCACCTGGGTGCCAAGGACGCCACTGGCCACTCCATCTCGCTCATGCGGGCTTAGCCGATGGCAGTCAGAACGCCTTACTACATGTCACAAAAGCACCACCGTCTTGCTGTGAAGTTCTTTGTGCAAACGTCTCGGTAATGAAATAGGTAAAAAGTGCAGCTTCCCAGGCTCGGACTCATTCTTAAAGCTGTTGTGGTCTCAGCTCACATCAGCCCAGATGCTTCTTGGAGAGAAGTGACTCCTAAGGCAGAGCGGGGATGGAGACATGGTTGGGATCAGATCAAGAAGTAGGACTTTGGCCCAGTGGTAGGTGTATAAGGTTGGTGTCGAAGCAGGGGTTAGGTACCAGTCCTCCATCAGGGCTGAAACAAAGGGCCAGTGGTCACACTAGGCTCCCAGAAGTAAAACACGGAGGGCTCCAGTCTATTCTGATCATAGGTTAAGTTGTTGGCTGCTTGTGATTGGCTGATATCATGTTAGGTTGCAATTCACCTTGTACGACAGACTTAAAATATGTATGGAGGCCGTTTTAGGCCAATCTAATTCAGCGTTTGGAGTAGAGGAGACAAAGTATGATTTAGTGGGAGTGGGAGTCAGAGGGGTTCCTCGGCTTTCTCCTTTCATAGACAAGCAACAGACCTGGTCATTCCCCTACCTCTTGTTCGTTACTGTCTCACACAGAGAAAGGTGGGCTGAGTCTGTGCACAAGAAAGCTGGCGAGGAAAGGGGGCCCTTCCTCTTGGAGGCCGGGAGATGCTGTGGCTGCTTCCCGGCGCCACATGGGCACAGTCAGTTGCCTCAAGGCCTGCACTCCTGAAGTTTCCTGCTGTTCACCTGTTAAAACCATGTCACACCTGTTGAGAACTCACATTTCTATGTATTTCCGTTATTGTGATACAAGACTTCCAAAATCGTCAGAAAAATTAAAATGTAGGTGGGATTACTTAAAAGGGGCATAAAATCTATATGAGAAGAAAAACACTGCAATTTGAAGCACGAACAGGAAGTCAGTGAGATTCTAGTCATCCCATCTAAATTCAGATAACCGTTAATTTCAGAAAACGTTACTGGTTTGATCCTGAGGCCAGCGAGCACTGGGAAACTCCTGTGACTCTGAGCAAAGACTGTGCAAACCTGGTCCAGTAAATCCTTGAGCAGAACCATGAGCAAAGCATTGAAAGAGGAGACGCTAATGATAAAGAATAAAAAATATTCTGAAAGCCCAAATCTCTCTAATCAATTCATCCTTTTGGTAGGAAGGTGACAAGGCTCTTCTTATAAAACCACTTATGCCATCCCCGGGGCTCCTCCTGGTGTCCTCATCTAACTCTTAAGTGCCTCTCCAAAGTTCTATGTCCACCCACCATTGACCTAAGAAATTGGGGACTACATTTCCAGCAGAAATGGGGGCCCATTCAGATTATAGCAGTGAGCAATTCATTTCTGCTCTGTAAGCCTCTGTCTTAGTCACGTTTCTCATTGCAGATGCAAAATACCCAACGCCCATAAGTTAAGAGAGGAAAGGTTCCTTTAGCTCATAGTTTGTAGAGGGTTTGTCCATCGTCAGCTGGCTCCAAGGCAGGCAGGCTTTGCAGAGAAGCAGTCCATGGTGGACAGAAAATAGCCAAGCAAGCAAGCGAGGGTCACCACCACTCTTCCTATCACTTACATCTTATCCAGGCTACTTAGGGCTGGTAGCACTTACACCCTCAATCCTAGTGCCCTGGACCCTAACATTAAATAGTGAATCAATCACAGCTCACACACTCTAGACCCACCCGCTTCGGTTGCTCCTCCCTCCAGCTTATCTGTGAACTCCCTGGATCTGAGCGTCTGCAGAGTGGCTGAGTTTGCACTGAAGCTGGTTTCCTCCAATACACTGAGAGCTCTGGCAGGGTGCAGCTAACATTTCTACCAAAGCCAGGAGTGGGATGGGACCAGGCACCCCAACAACCCCAGAGCAGTGCTCCTTCAGTTCTGTGTTCAGGGTACCTCTTCGGGTCTCAGCTCCAGAGTGGACCCAGCTTCCAGGAGGGTTGTGGCCCAATGATTACCCCAACATCAAAATCTCTTTGACATCGGGGTGGGGCGCAGCGGTCTTCCCAACCCTGTGCTGACAGGCACTTGAATTTGAGCAGTGAAGTTGGTTTTGAATCAAAAAACAAAAACGTCTGAAAGTCTTACAGTTCCCAGATACCATGAAGTATCCTGAATCCTCAACTTCCCTGGGCCATGGCACGGCCTGAGCAGTCCCGCAGGCCTCGGATGCCCGGGACAAGGAGGGTGCGGTAGGCATCGCGTTAAGGACCTCGCAGTCCTGCAGGCTCGGTGCTCCCCGCCCAGCCGAGGAGCGCGGACCCGCGGGCGGGACAGGGAGGGCGGGACGTGCGCGCGGGCCGGGCGCGAATGGCTCCGGCAGCTCTGGGCGGGCGGCCCAGTCGGTCCCCGCGTCCCCGTCCCCGCACTGCACAGCCCGCACCCCGCGGGGCCTTAAACCCACCCGCGCGTCCAGGGCAGTAGGTGGGGACCCGGGGCCGCCCGTTTCCGGAGCTCGGAGAGGGAAGCCCGCGGATCGAAACCCGAGTTCGGGGAAGGCAGATGCAGAAGGAGGGTGCACCCCGCGCTTTTGGCCTTGCAGGACCCAGTGTGCGCCCGCACCCGGGACTCACCAGGTCGGTGACAGGCACCGGCGGGGGGCACTTGAGAGGCGACCCCTGATTGGGAAGGCAGCGTCATAGGGCCACCTCCCGGGCAGACAGTCCTGGCGGCGCCCCCGGGGGTGGGGGACAAACGTGAGCCCGCGACCTTCGGAGCCTTCCCTCGCTGCTACCCGAGCTGGGGAGCTGGTTTCCAGGTGTCCTGGCCGAGGCGCCTCCCCGCCCCTGACCCTGCCCCTGCCGCGCCGGACAGGTCCAGAGGGGACCGGCCCGGCCCGCGTCCTCCTCCCACTCAGTGCCGTCAGCTAAAAGCTGACGGCTCCAGGGGGAACCTTGCGCACGTCCCGGGCCGGGGCGGCGGGGAGACCCGCGCGCCTTTGTCTCCCCAAGAACACAAGTTTCCCGGGGGGCCTGGAACCGGCGCCGCGACAGGACAAGGCCCAGGGGAGGACGGTGCCATGGAGCCCGGCGGGGCGCAGCTGCGCGGTTCCGAGGCCCCAGGACCCGCGCCCTCTGAGGAGGCCCAGGCCGCCCAGGCGCTTCCCGAGGCGGAGGTCCTCGGCGTGGAGGGCGGGGCCCCCGAGGCTCCGCCGGGGAACTGGGCCCTGTCCTCGGAGGAGGAGGTCGCCCCCTCGGGCGCGGAGGACCCGCGCGAACGCCGCCGCCCGCGTGCGCGCTCCTTCTCGCTGCCCGCGGAGCCCATCCTGCAGGCGGCGCAGCTCCTGCAGCAGCAGCCGGGCGCGCAGAGCGGGGAGCAAGCCGGGGACGCGCCGCACCGCCCCGGCGACTGCTGCGCGAAGTGCAAAAAGCGGGTGCAGTTCGCTGACGCGCTGGGGCTGAGCCTGGCCAGCGTGAAGCACTTCAGCGAGGCCGAGGAGCCGCGCGTGCCGCCCGCCGTGCTCTCCCGCCTGCACAGCTTCCCCATGCGAGCCGAGGACCTGGAGCAGCTCGGGGGACTGTGGGCCTCGGCCACTGGGCGCGCGTTCCTCCCCGCGCCGCCGCCTCCGCCCCGGCTGCGGCCGCTCTTCCAGCTCCCGGGGCCAAGCGAGGCGGCCGAGCGCCTGCGGCGACAGCGCGTGTGCCTGGAGCGCGTGCAGTGCCCCGCGCCGTCGGGCGCCGAGGTGGCCGGCTCCGGGCGTGTCCTGCGCTGCCCCGGCACCCGCACTGTGGCGGTGCGCTACACCTTCACCGAGTGGCGCACCTTCCTCGACGTGCCCGCCGAGCTGCGGCCCGAGCCACAGTCGCCAGGCGCGCCGTCGGGGGTCTCCGGATCCGGGTCGGGGGGTGCCGAGGAGGAGCCAGAGCTGGAGGCCGAGTGCTTCAGCTTCTCGCTGTGCCTGCCCCCAGGCCTGGGGCCCCGGGAAGGCGAGGACGGGCACGCGCAGGATGCCACCGTCCACTTCGCCATCTGCTACACCTGCTCACAGGGTGAGTTTTGGGACAACAACTCCGGTGCCAACTACACGCTGTGCTATGAGAACTCCATGGACCCGCTCTGAGCGCAGGGCGCCGTGGGGAGCAACTGCTCCGGGCCGATCAGGGACGTTGTGCTGAGCGCCGTGTATCCAGCATGAAGGGAGCGTGGAGGAACCGAGGACCGAGGACAAAGCGCAGAACCTTAAACTCGCAACCCAGGCACAGCCCCGTGGGCCTGGTGCCCGGGCTTCTCCTCCACCTTCCTAACTGAGCTCTGGAACTCCCAGCCTGCCTCTTAATTGAGCTGCAGAAATCCCAAAGACCCCTAGGAAAAGCTTCCCTGCTCCTCAGCTCCGTGACCCTGCGTTTTGTTTTTAACTCAGATGTCAGTATTTCCTCCTTTGCAGCTTGGAGCTCCGCAGGGAAGGCATTAGGCGCCCCTCCACGGAGCGGAGCACGCACTGAGAAGAGGCATGCGTGGGGACCTCAGAACCTCCCTGTCCTGGAGAAAAGTGGACGGAGGCTGGGTCACAGGGTCCTTTGCCTTTAACTGACATGTGGGGAATGTTTGCCCAGACTTAATGCTTTTTACTTGTGCAAATAGTGGACAAGTGTCCTTTTGAAAAGTAAAGGTTACTTGTGCACCTGTTTGTGCTGTATCTTAGCTTTACAGTATCTTAGCTTTACAGCGCTCAGGCCATCTGCTGATGCCACCGAGCACATTAATAATTGTTAAGGAAACCCTCACAGATTTCCCTTCTTTGGTCTCTTGTCCAGTGTGGCGGGACTCAGAATTCAATGTTTTTCGGACTGTGTTTAGAAATGTTCTGGCCTGGCCAAGATAAACTGTAGCCTGGATTTGAATGGCACAGTAACACAGTTGGTGTGGCCCTGAGCCACAGGAAACCATCACCCAGCCCCTTTGCTCAGAGTAGCGCCTGTTATCCGAGCTGGACCGTTTGCAGGCAGAAAGGATGCCAAGCACAAGGGGCAGGTAGCATTTCATCCCTCTCAGAGCCACAGTCAGGCTGGACTGCTTAGTGGCTCATATGAAGTTGCCCACTGCTGGTGGCTTTGGATGCCAGGAAAAGGTGGCCAAGCCTCAGCCTACAGTTGGGTGTCCTGGCAGGGACCTGATTCCATCACACCGTGGTCATCACTTCCTTGGCTAACTTACCTTTTAAAAACATTTCCTCTTTTTTTTTTTGCACAAGGCTAATAGCATTTATTGGCTATTTATTGGTGGCATTGACGGAGGAAGGTTTTCATTGTTCTGACCGACAGGAGTCCAGGTACAAAAGATCCCGAACTACATGTGGCCCAGCATCTCTTTGGCAGGTGGGCCCAAGAGTGGCTTTGATTAGTTGCAAAAGCCCAAAAGAAGATCCTATTGCAACAAGAAAATTACATGAAATTCAGATTTGGCATCCATAAATAAACTTTCCCTGGAACACAGCCACGCACATTTATTTATGTATGTCCCACAGTCACCGTCATGCTGCCATGGCAGAGCCGGATAGCTGCAGCGGAGACCATATGCAGAGTGTGAAATATTTACTGCCTGGCCCTGCATGCCAGGCCCTGGCCTGCCTTGTGTTCGTAACACTGTGCGGGGTCGCAGTTAACAAGGCAGTTAACCTTTAGTGAATTTACCATGTAAAGTAAACCTCCTCTGAGAAAAGGCAAAACTGTTTACACTGCTGCCGGTAATCCTGGTTAGAATAAACAGTAAGGCACCAAAGAGCAGTCATTACTGTAGGGAAGGGGCGATCCACCTGCTTCCTCTCACTTGGAGATAATAACAGTCACTGAAATACGGACCTGTCTGAGTGAGCACCAGTTTTCAAAATCTGCCAGATAGTTTTGCTTTTAATGTGTCTGCGTGTGTGTGTGTGTGCATGCGTGTGTGTGTCTGCGTGTGTGTGTGTGCCTGTGTGTGTGTGTGCGCGCGCGCGCGCGCGCTGCGGATGGAGCCCAGGCCCTCAGACATGCTAAGAACACGCTCTACACTGAGCTCTACCTCCCGCCGTCTTTGCCTTTAAATGGAGTGTCTTTAGCTCTACAAACATTTAGCTTGAACTTTGAATTGGAGACTTCCCTTTGACTATGGCGGTGTTACCAAAGGTTAACTAATCATGAGGAAATTTGAAAATAATAATTATTGGCGAAATGCATCACAAGCTACCTGACTGTCATTTCTACTTGGAATAAAGCAATGTGTTTCTATAAATGTTTAAAAATATGTAGCAATAAAAATAAAATAAAAACCACTACTGCAGTGTGCATTCCAAATGTAAAGTTTTATAACAATAAAATAACCAGTTATTAGAGTGACAGCTTTTTTTCCCTGTAATTAATTACAAAAGCAGTCGATGGCTTTCATACAGTGTGCAGGTATTTTTGCATCTGGTGTAAACATTTCTTAACAGTGCAATTCCTGCAGCCTGATATGGTGCATGCCTGTAATCCCAGCTCCTCGGGAGCCTGAGGCAGATAGGTCACAGGCTCAAGGCTGCTCCGAGCTGCTAAACTTTGTCTGAAATAACAGTTTGGGAAAAGGGGTCTGTATATGGCTCAGCGGTAGTGAGCTCACACCATAAGCTCAGGGCCCAGGTTCACTCCCAATACCACAGAAAAAAGTACATCATTACACAGTATTGTAGTTAGGGATTGTACACAGAGAACAATTGGAATCAGAACATGGAGTTTATAATATTATTTTGTGATGGTCACCCAGAGTTAACACAAGAAAATGCAGGAAATCTGTCCGCAATACCAAAGACATAGAATATTTAGTCAAGGGCCTAAATCCCACAGCAATGTCCCACATGAGTCCAGATGAAAACCCAGAGCTCAGGATAATGCCTCCCATGAGTCCAGCTGGAGGTTCAGAGCCCACAAGAAAGACTCACACCAATCTCTCTTACAGATCCATGCTGGGAAGGCCCAAAGGTCAGCGGTGGAAGCCAGAAAGTCCATGCCAGCAGGGTGAAGGAGCTGTGCTGGTGGGATGAGGGTTCTATGCTGGAGCAGAGAAGTCACATTCACAACAAAGACTAGGGCTGTCCTGAAAGGCACCACAGCATCCTTAGCGACACAGAGGCCCTGAGCTCCTCTGATGATAAGCACAGTAGAGTACATGCCAGGAAGCCAGCGTGACGAGTTCATCCTGGAGACCAACTGGCACATGTCTTCCCCTCCAGAGCCAGGAAGCAATGCTCGATGTAAGGACCAGAGCTTCAGGAGAACCAACGGCTCAAACAGCAACACATCGGAGAACCCACAATGCCTCAATGCAATAATGCCTTTCTTCTCCACCTCTCTATTTATGCTGGCAACTTTCCTCAGGTGGAGCATCTTCGCTCAGTGCCATGCTGATGTAATCCAGCTGGCGTTAAGTTGACCACCAGTTCTTAATACATAACACACAGTGACACCTCGAACCTAGGAACTGCACTTGAAAGTATATATGTAAGTCTATTTTAGCTTAACAATATTGTATTTGTAAATATATTTTAGCTGAACAATATTCATAGCATATCTAGCCTGTAACAGCTGGAGTATGCTGATGTATATCGTAAGTGCATTGTTTCTGGTTTTAATTTTTTTAAAAATATATTAGGGGGCAAGGAGTGTACCTTAGTGGTGTGTGGCATTGCCTGACTTTTATCTCCATTACCACACCAAAAATTGAAATTAGGAACTGGATACAATGTTAAAAACTGAGTTATCTTATCTAGTACCCTTTAAAATAGACTGCCAAATCTATAGTAAAATCAGTATGACATAGATTTTTTTTTTCTCATTTTTTTCTTTTTGAGGCAGGGTCTTGCTATGCAGTTCAGGCTGGCCTTCAATGCAATTTGTAGCCCATCTGGGCCTTGAACTCACAGCAATCCTCCTGCCTCAGCCTCCTAAGTACTGGGATTACAGGCATGTCCCAGCGTGCCCAGCTAAGACATAGCTTTTGTAAAAGTACAGTATATGTGACAAATTTTGAATTCTTACTGATTCCTAAAAATATAATTTGAATTCAATTGATTTTACAAAGACTTGCTTCAAGAGCTAATGAACATTCAACATGGTCGATAGGCAGGAAATATAGCTTTGCCTTTGTCTAAATCTTGAAGACTGGCATTCTAAAAGTTCAGAATTTGGCGAAATATTTTGAGCAGCCCAGTTTTCTTTCAAAGTACTACCCTTGTGGCAATCTTCTGTCTCTCCCTCCCCTTGTCTCTCTCTCTATTTCTCAACTGTTTTGGCCTCTGGGCACTGGGCTGTCACACTGAGCCACACCCCGGACCCTTCATTTTATCTTACTGATTGATTGATGGACTGATAGATCGATGAGATCACTAAACCATGAAGCTGTCCAGGCTGGACTTGAACCTGTGGTCCTCCTTACTCAGCTTTCCAGAGTGCTGGGATTAGAGCCATGCACTACCATGCCCACCTGGCAACCTTTTAAATGATTATTTTATGACAAGACAAATTCTCTTTGTAGATTAGCAGTAAACTTTCCTTGCTGGTGATTGAACCTAGGGCCTTGTGCACCCTGGGCAAATGCTGTACTGCTAAACTGTATCCACAGGCCATGACAAACATTTCCTAATACAGGTAAGGGAAGTCAGAATGGTTTTTGTGTTTTAAAAGCTATTTCAAAGGAAACCGAAGGCCAAGTGTGGTACTGCACTTGGATAATCCCAGCACTTGGGAGGCTGAGGCAGGAGGATTGCTGTGAGTTTGAAGTCACCCTAGGCTACAAAGTGAGTTCAGGGCCAGCCTGAACTGCACAGTGAAACCCTGTCTCAAAAAGACAAAAGAAAGAGAAAAGAAACACTCACCGGTTATGAAGCATTTAGAGTATGTTTCCTGAAAGGAATGAAAACAAAATAACCAAATTCCTACAATGCAACTGGTGCTTTTCTTCAATATGAATGCACTCTGCTTCCATAATAGACCTTAAAATCTTACCTCTGGCTCTAGAGTTAAAAACAGTTCTCCCCAGGAGTGAAGGGTGCATTCTCCACCCAGGAGTGTCTAGTGGCTTCCTTACAACCAAGCGTTTCTGCAGATCCCTGGGTCATGGATGTCGGGTAAAATGTGGGTTCGCATCCATAGGGGTCCAGACCCAGCAGCTGGAAATGTGGTACCCGCCACAGGACACACCCAGAGCTGTGAAGGAAGGCAGACACGCTGCTGTCAGCCCTAAGCGGGGAGACCCTGAGCTCCGGGGACACCCGGCATCTTGGGGCGCCTCCCCGAATTCCCAGAGCAGCTGCGGGCGAGCAGCTTTTTCTCCTGTGGGAGACGCACAGGGCTTTCCTTTCTGGTCTACCTGCTGTTCTCATGCCCTGACCCAGGGACGATGATCTCCCTGGAGCGCTGTGGCTCTTGAGGTGTCCACATGGTGGCGATCACAGCGAATTGGGACCATTTTGCTTCAACTTTGCAAGGTTACTACTGCAGGGCTCTCCGGAAGTTATCTCTTGGGTTTTACGCATTTCTGCTTTCTGGTCCCATAGGCTTGGCATATTTGGGTGAGCTAAGAGTTTTCATTCCCTGACTCAGCTGGGTGTGGAAATGCAGTGTTTTCCTTTTGGTGGCATCATGGAACGGGATGAAATGTGTGTTCTGGCTTATGCCCTGGGACCAGGGTTTGTAGGTTAAAGGAGGGCATTGTGGCTGCCATAATTTAACACACAACAGGGATAAATCAGAAGCCATGGGCAGGCTGGAATTTGCCCAGCTAAGAGACCAGGACGGACGGCTCCCAGCATGGCAGATGTGCTACTTGAAGTTGTTGGGGTCAGGGGGCTGGGAGCAGAGAGCTGACGACCTGGGCTTGCCCCAGTGACCTGGCTTTCTGCTCCCACAGAGCAGTCCTGGCCATCTTGCAGGTGAGCGGGCAGGTACCTGGAAGTGGACTAGGGGAGACTGACCCCGGGTTCTCTTCCAGACTCCATGACAGGCTCCTTCTCTATGTGGTCCAGTGTGTGTTTGGGCTTTGGACCCCCTTTAGCTGAGCAGTTGGAGGAAAGCATCCTCAAATGACCAGTACCCCCTCCAAGCGCTGGTTGTTGGAGGGCTAAGTACTATCACTTTAGGCTTATGCAGATTTACACTCCTTTGAGTCTCCCCTGAAGGCATTGCATTTGCATTTTGTGGAGCTTAATTCTTTGACCTTGACTGTATTTGGGCAGGAAAATTTTGGAAAGGAAAAAACGGGCTAATTTCAGCTCAATGTAGATTTCTGACATGGCAAAGATCAAGGACATCCTTTTAAAATGTGTGTGTGAGATTTGCCCAGTGAGTCTCATAGAGGAAGGGAAGTCTGTCACAGTTGAGAGCCAGTTCCAACAGAAAGTCTGCGTTTATATCATATATCTATATCTTTCTGGTAGAGCAAAGCTATTTGAGAGTAACTTACACATTTAAGGACATAGGCTGGTGTAGTGTCTTCCTGACTGGTCATTTGCTCCATTCACACTGCTCTGTACTAACACAGGCTGAAATGGGAAATTCTTTAAAAGGTCTGAACTGAATAAGGACCGGAGGAGGAGGAGGAGGATTTCATAAACTAAGCATGAAATGTTTAACACCCAAGTTGAGAGCTTCCTGAGCACCTCCTGCAGGTGACTTCCCGGTAAGGAGCCACAGGAGGCTCATGCTGAGGAGGAG